CAAGAAAGAAGTAGAGTTATCTATTATATAAGAGATCTAATACAGCTACTGCACTTACCTAGTAGAGAGCTATTGTTAAAAAAGAGTCTAAGAGGCCTATTAAGGCTATAAGGAGTAATAGAGTAAGGGAACTTCTTACCTTACTAAAGCAGTAGGAGAAAGAAGGGGTTATCTTTAACACTACTAAACCCTATAACTCAATTTAAAATAGAGTTATAGAGAGGTTAATCCAAATATTAGAGGAAGTAGTAAGAGTAATAATTAAGGACTTAAGCATGCCTATTAAGTTCTAGCTAGAAGCCCTTACTATACAAACCTATATAAGGAATAGACTTCTAAATAGCCTAGAAGTTAATAGCTTTAAGATTTCTCCTAAGGAAGTATACTTAGGACAGAAGCTAGCAGTTTCCTATTTAAAGGTTTAGGGGTGCTAAGTAGCTGTCTATATAGATCTAAGGTTATAGCTATCTAGTATAAGGAGAGACAAACTTATAAACAGAGGCAAACTAGCTGTCTTTATTAGCTATATAGACAGGACTACTAAAGCTTAGATATTCTAGGAACCTAATATAAGGGCTATAAAACAGCATTCTTAGGCTGCTTTCTTTAAGCATAAAAAAGGAGGGGATATAGACTTAAATGTTCCTATTCTTAACTAAAGCAGTAGAGCCCTAGTTAGGAACCTAGTTAGAAGGCCAAAATCTAAGCTACCCTAACCTATATAACTAAGAAACCCTATACTACTCTATATGTAACTCCCTCCCCCTCTAAAGGATATTAGAGAATACTAGAGAGTTAAGGAGAATTTAGGAGAAGAAAAGGAAAACTAGGAACTACCTAAGGAGTATTAAGAGAGTCCTTAGGATTAGGAAATTAACAGGTTATATAACTAATATCCCTCAGCCTAGACTTAGGATTAGGAGGGGTTTAGCTAAAAGAGGAGGAGACTAGCCTTAGATAAAGGAGAAGGATTAGGGCTAAGGATATACAGCATAATTATAAGGAATACCCTTTAGAAGAGGACTAAGCATCTAACAGATAAGGAGCCTAAAGTAAAG